CCCCGACCCCCCTGAGGAGTCATGATGATCTCTTTTGACCCCACTAGAAACCTATCAGTCTTCGCTGTTAGGTAAAATGGTAGCCAACGCGAACACCAAGCATTGTGTTTCAAACGATCTACGTTGTGCAATCTATGTGGAGCGACCTGCGTGGTGCAGTTCATTTGCGTTTGCCATAAGTTGTCGAACTCCACTGTTCGCGCAGTCATCCCACCCACCCACCCGCAACTTGGTTTGCAAAGCCCACGCGGCGGCGATTGCGAACTTTTGGGCGCTGGTTTGCGCATCGCTGCGACCGCGGTAGCGCGCAAGCTCGCGCGCTCAGCGGCCAAGTAGTCTGGCGCGACCGCCACGGCCGCTGTGGCAGTGACTGCCGCGAGCTTCCCTGCGCGTCTCGCAAACCGCGCTGGCGCGCGGGCACTCCAATGCGAGTCGGCGATCCGGGCGGGCGCACGGCGACGTCGACAAAGGCAGCCACGATGATGATAGCAGCGATGCCGGTGACAACGATGACGATGACGACGGAAAGGCCAATGACGGCGCCGATGCTGGTCACGCCGATGACGATGAGGTTGCCCACGTGTCGGCGACGAAAGTTTTGTAACGATTTCGACATGTGCGCGCGCCCGACGCGCGCGACTGGCCTGCATCGTATTATTTGACAGGAGCGGTGCTCCCCCCAGCACGCGCGCAAAAGGCGTTCGAATGATTTCGGCATGTGCGCGAGAGACCAGCTTGGTCGCAATGAATGAAATTGTTGAAAAATGTTTGTCTCAACAATTTGCAAGATCGCGCGTGCGTATTGTTTGTGTGAAAATTCCCACGATAAAACCATGTGTATTATATTTGGTCGGAAACGTCGGTGTGACCGTTTTTGTTCGTAGGTAGCGGTCGTCGCCCGTGGGAGGAGGGGGGTTCGGGGAGTTCGGGCGGGAGCGTAATGGTAACAGCGGCCGCGGCGTGCACCCGCCAGGATGCGCCACCAACGCATCAATCGCCTGTGTCCACCACAGCATGTAGTGTGGGGGGGGGGTCGAAGCCACTCCCCCAGTACCATCGCTAGCGCTACCCAGGGGAAAGTTTGGGGGGGGAGGGGAAGGGCCTGGGTAACCAGCGTTGCCACGGGGACGACAAGAAAACGCTGACGACCTTAAAAGCCATACGGAACTGGAGGTTGGGGAGGAATTGCGGCATGCGCGCGCGCGACGCCGCGCGCGCGAGAATTGTGCGTTGTCGACTGCAATATTCGACGCGCGAATGTGCGTGTTTAGCCAGGGTAAGCGACAATCCGATACTCGAGAAATGTCGAAGGAGAAGGATGAGGGGGGGATCAATACCGACTGGCCTGGGAAGGCATGAGTTCATACTAACATGAAGGATGGGCTCGAATCAAAATGCAAATCGTACTCCCCAAGGGGGGGGCGATAAGACTGGGGGAATTAGATCCATAAAACCTGTTTGGTGCATCTGCTTTTGCAGAACTTGGAATTGTCAACTCCACTGCTCGCGCAATCATCCCGCAACTTGGCCTGCAAAGCGCCTGCGGCGGCGATTGCGGTAACTGGTTGTTGGCCATGGTTGGCGCATCTCGGCGGCCGCGCTGGCACCCGCCAGGTCACATGCAAAGCGGCTAACTGGCTTGGCACAGCCGGTGCGGCAGCGATGGCGCTTACCTTTGGGGACTTCCCAGGGCGTCTCGAAGGCCGCGCTGGCGCGCGGGCACTTCAGCGCGAGTCGATGATCCGGGCGGGCGATGCATCATGATTACGCCGACATCGGCGACAACGGTGATGATTGTAGCGATGGTGGTGGCCATGGTGATGATGATGACGGCAAGGCCAATGACGGCGCCGATGCTGGTCACGACGATGACGATGATGATGTACATGGTTCGGTGACGGAAGTGATTGACCGATGATGGCAGCAATTGCGGCGTCTGGCGACGAAGCTAACGACGGTGATGCGGCGGCGCTGTTGAAGGTGATGATGAGGAAGCGCGCACTTCTGGCAGATTTCGCATTGGAAACCAATTGGATTCTGCACATTCCCCAAACAGTTCTTGAGTTTGCATGCTCCCCACACCAATGCGGCCGCGATGGCGCTTGCTGATGGCAACGTCCCAATGGCGTCAGAGGCCTCGCTGGCGCGCGGGCACTTCAATGCGGGTCGGTGCAATCCTGGAATCCCTAAGAAACGAACGTTTGGCAAGGATTCCGGCATGCGAGCGCGACGACGCGCGCGCGAGCACTTGGTCAATTTGCTGCAAAGGATTATTGTAAGTTGCTGTTCTGATCAGCAAATGCGCGCGCATAGTTTTACTTGAAGTACGAGGGGGGATAAGGTGACACCCTGGCAAAATGAACGATGAGGACGAATCATATGTAGTCTCAGTGTCCCAAAAGGTAACGATAAGACCGGGGGAGGGGGGGAGGGGGTGGTAGAGTCTAGCCTCTTGTAGAACGGAAAATATATGAAGTGGAATCGATCTTGGGCGAACTACGCAAAATAAAGAAAAGCAGCGCAAATCAGCGCAAAGAAACACAAACCAATACAAAACAACGCAAAGCAACGACAAGAAATGTCGAACAATGCCAAGTCCCATAGAAGAGAAGTGAGGTACCAGAAGTGCTAACACCGATAGGAAAATATGCAGGGCCCATTGGATTCCAACACGAAATATGTCACAAGTGCGCATCCTCACCATCGCCCCCATCATCACCACCTTATCACCACCGTTATCGTCATCGCCAGTCGCCGCCATTACCGCCATCATCAGCCAATCGCCTTCGTCACCGAATCATGCATAGCAGCATCGTCAACGACGTCACCAACATCGGCACCGTCATCGACAGTGCCGTCGTCATCGATACCATGGCCACAACCATCGCTGCCAGTGCCAAGCAGTCACCGCAATCGCGGCCGCGTGGGTTGTGCAAAACGAACTGCGGGTGGAAAGGTGAGATGATTGCACAAGCAGTGGGGTTGACGACTGCAAGTTCTGCAAGGCGGATTGCACCACATAGCTTACAGCACATGACTTACACCGAGCATCCTGCGACACATAGATAGCACACCGGGAGTGCAGTAACCGACTGCATGGGGTGCATGCTGGCAACACATGGCATTCCTTGGTTCCAGAGCGCACAGCCACGATATGCACGGGGTGCCCTCCGAACGCTGGGCGTCGGCCCCGGAACGGCACGCGCGGCTCATGGCACCCTGGCTGGTGGCAGACGCAGATCGCCACCCAGTGAAAAATGCGTTCTGCTGGTGTACGCCAGGCTGGTCCAACGAGAGCTCGGAGACAATGCGCACGGGGCTGTTCCTCCATGAGAAGAGCCACCTTCATGAACTGACAGTTGGCAGACCGAGTCGGTCACCAAAGGCAAACACGCAACCGCACATCAATAGCACTAACCCAAAACCAAGTCGAAAAGTCCATGTTCTTGTGAATACAAGTGCGCGCATTGAGCATTGCAACGGGCTCCCTGCCCATGCCCTCCCCACAAGCACCTGGCGCCGTGCGCTTTGTTGCACTTGAACGAACCATAATCGTTCTCCTCGCGGAGAAGTCAACATACAGACCACCGCTCGCCTTTCCCAACTCTGTGAGGAAGAGAGCCCGTTAAGGGAAACTGGAGAAAACAGATGAGGACAAGCTATAGCACCGTCACTATAGGACCAGTGTCCGATTGGTCGCTCCCCCTCTGCGTGAAAGGTCGCGAACAGCGATGCGGCCAGCCTCAAACTCGCAAGAGAGTCAGAGCATTCTCTGAGTACATGCCAACGGAGTTTTGTGAGGAGGAGGAGGAGGACGACGACGACGACGACGACGACGAAGACGACGACGAGGTGGAGGAGCGTGGCCAAGGGGGGGGGGGGCAATGAGTGCAGGCGCTGCCCACTCTGGGGGAGGGAGGGGCAGGGCCGAGGACACGGGATGGTGCAGACGGACGGCCCATGAACCGCACGGGACCTGCCCCCCGCAAGACCGACCGGGAACGGAGCTCCCCACTCCGTGGCCAAGGACTGCATCCTGGATGGCCCCCCTCCTCGTGGCTGGAGAGGAAGCGGGGTGAGGACGTGCAGCAGAAGTCAGTGGCATAGGAAGGGCGAGAGGAAGGGAGGCGCGGGGCGGATGGCCCGGTGGTGCATGCGATCTGCCCTCCTCGAAACCGAACGGGAACGGAGCTCCCTCCCGTGGCGAAGGAGCGATGCACCCGCGATGCATCGGCGACGTCGGCGGTGCATTGGCGACGCCGGCGTGGACAAGAGCGGGCTCCACATCGAGCCGCATCGCCGGTGCATCGGCGATGCGGCGCGATCCTCCGACCCCATCTGCTCCGACACCATGCGGGAGGCCCAGGGGAAGGGAGCGGCAGTGGGAGGGCGAGAGGGAGGGGGGCGCAGGGGGCCGGGCGCGGGAGTGGAGAAGCACGGAGGTGCGCGTGGACCCACATGTGCGCAGGTGCACTTCTAAAACAATAGGAGTGCATATGCACGTGCACATGCTTGCGTATATGCACGCATCTGTGTATACGTCTAGGGAGAGATACAGATGTGCACATGCACGTACATCGGCACTGCTAAGCAGCAGTGCTGTGCACATGTGCTCTGGGGGGAGAGGGGCGGAGAGAGCGAGAGGAGAGGGAGGGAGGGGAACAACTGAGCCGCAGGAGGCAGCGCCCGCTTCGGGCGAACGAAAAAGTCGAGGCGCCCGGGCGCCCCGTCTAGAAAGCGGCAGGGTGACTTCTCGGCCCACCACCGCCGGATTAATCTACCGCTGCTCTCCAGTGGCTTGCCGTTCCGAGCGCTGTGGGGGCCGCAGCAGCTGTTGCATCGGAGGCCAGAGCCCCACTCTTGAAATCGGACGCAGCTTGCTGGAGCCGAGGCCTTTAGCCCTACGCTTGAAACTGCACTGGAGGCCGCAGCAGCTCTTGAATTGGGATCCGCAACTGCCTCATGGAAAAGCGGCTCGACACGCGTGCCTGCGCAGCCGGTCACGATCGCTTGAAGTCCAGCCGGGCCTTCCTGGGCGGCAGGCCCGAGATGAAGCCCTCCTTCTTCTCCCTCTGCGCTGGCAGCCCAAACCACAGAGAACAAACTCCGGCCCCCGACCTCCCTGTCCACGTCCACGACTTGCACGTCGAGGACCCGCTGCAGGTGGTGCAGCAGTCCGCCGGGGACCCCACGCCGTCCACCTCCTCGCCGGCCAGGCCGGAGTAGGCGACGCCGCCTCGGCGCCGGGCCGGATCTCGCCTCTCCGGGACCGGGGCTCGCGGGTCTTCGCTTCCAGAGGCACCCGAGCCCAGGCCCCCGATCTTGCGAGGAACGGGCGCTTGCGGTTCAATGCTCTCCCCCCCCCTATGGGCCAGCCACCCCTGCAGCTGCTCAAAAACTCGAGGTAAGGTCCGTAAACTAACCACGCGCGAGAAAAGATGTTACGGTGTGCGAGTATTGTTTCTGGCATGGCTCGAGTCTGAGAGCGATCTGAGGCCTCTCGATGGTCTGGACTGATGCTTCCGAGGGTGCTGCAACGATTGGTGTTAACAGCTCTGTAGCAGCTCTAACTATGGAGATCAAGTCCGTGAACCGACCCAGAGCCTCCGTCGGCCATCGAGCCTGCATCGACTGCACGTAATACGAATGACCCTGGGTAAGATAAGAGTGACCTTTGGTGCGCGGCGTCCTGGGGGCCGCGGGGGGACCAAACACAAGCGCGCAAGACGCTACTGCCGCCTCGCGTTCGGCGATCACGGGACCCATATATGGGCCCGCACCGAAGGTCACTCCGGCGAAGGGGGGTCACTCGTACGTGTAGTCGACTCCAGCCTCCAGCCGTCATCGAGCCCCCAAAAGCATCCAGACGCGTCACCGATCCCAGTCCTCTCTGCTCCACCTGCCCCCTCCCCCGACGACGACGCTGTTGTTCTCTGCTGGGGCCAGTCCCCCCAAAGCCTCAGTCCGTCATCGAGCCTCCAGCCTCCATCCGCCACCGAGCCCCCAGGAGCCTCTGGAACGCGTGACCGATCCCAGTCACATCTGCTCCGCCCGCCCTCTCCCCCGCCGGCGCCGATTTATTCGTGGCGCGGCCCCCCCAGGCATCTCGACCCCTCCCTGCAGGGCCTCCTCCTGCTCCTCCTCTTTCTCGTCCTCCTGCCCTCCTCCTCCTCCTCTCCTCCCTCCTCCTCTCCTCCCTCCTGCTCCTCCTCCGCCTATCCCCTCCCTCCTCCTCCTCCTCCTCCTCCTCCTCCGCCTCCTCCTCCCTCCTCCTCCTGCATCCCTCTCCTCTTCCCCCTCCTCCTCCTCTCCTCCTCCTCCTCCTCCTCCTCCTCCTCCTCCTCCTCTCCTCCTCCTCCTCCTCCTCCTCCTTCTCCTCCTCCTCCTCCTCCTCCTCCTCCTCCTCCTCCTCGTCCTCCTCGTCCTCCTCCCCCCCCGACGAGGATGGAGCAGGGGACCCCCCGCAGCGAACCGCCAAGGGGCGAGCGCCCGCCCGTTGTCTGGGGGGAAGAAGGGGGAGAGAGCCCAAAGAAGGCTCGCGGCCAAAACGAGGGGAGGTGCCGCTTCGAGCCCGGGAACGTCGGCCCCCCCCGGAGGGAGGGGCGACCAAGAAATACCCAGCAGCAGCGATGACTCTGGCGGCCTCTGGCTCTGAGAGCGCTCCTGCCCCCCACCACCGTTCGATGCCCTCCTCCCCCCCTTCTGCCCCAGGGCCAGCCTCTCATCCTGGGCCGTCCTCTGGCGGCCCCCGGGGGCCAGGAAGCCTGAGGGCGCCTAGGAAAGACGGGCCGCAGTGAGGACTGTGGCGACGTCTGGATCTGAGGGTGCTGAGGGTGAAGAGGGATCTGGATCTGAGGGGTGCTGAGGGTGCTCCCGCCCCCAACACCTTCCGATGCACTCCTCCCCCTTTCCCCGTGCGGGGGCAGCAAGCGACCACAATCAGATCGAGACCCCCAAGGGGATGTCTTGCGCATGCCCACAATCGTCAGAACATCGAAACCATCTTAGTGAATAGTGGTTGTGGCCCATGCGTGTGTCCCAAGACGGCCAAATCGACCACAAACTCTACCTAAGCATTCATGTCGAAGTCGGTGGGTTCTTCCCCGAGGGGACCTCCAGAAACGTCCACTAAGTAGTGGTTGTGATTCTTTCTGCAGGCCTCCGACACCACGACCTTTTATGGCAAGCGGGCCGCAGTGCTGTCGGGTGCCCATGCGCAGTAACAGAAACACCGCTCGGGAAGGGGTCGGGACCTCCGGGGCCCGCAGCTTGAGGAACACAAAAAGACGTCGTTGGATTTCAGGGAGCACCAGCTCCAATGCAGCGGGGCAGCTTCGCGACCACAAGGGGAGGAAGGAGGAGGAAGAGGAGGAGGAGGCGGAGGAGGAGGAGGAGGAGGAGGAGGCGAAGGAGGAGGAGGATGAGGAGGAGGAGGAGAGGGAGGAGGAAGAGGAGGAGGAGGAGGACGAGGACAGGAGTAGAAGGGTCGAGGAGGGATGCCTCCTTCCTGCCTAACCGGTTGCAAGATGTGCCCGCGCCGCGTGGACCATGTGGACTCCTCCTCCTCCTCCTCGCCTGCCTTTCAGTGAGACCATCAACCACCCACACTGTTGGCCACGACGATACGAATGGCCCTGCTGGCTCCGCAACGCGTGGACCAGCACCCCTCGCATCGAGGGGCAGAGCCGACCTGATGGTAAAATCTTCTTTCCGTGCAGCAGGAGAGGGTAAAGAGCGGCGACAACTCGAGAAGGGAGTAGTTGGAGGGGAGGAGGAGAAGGAGGGAACGCCAATACCCCAATGCCAGTCCGTCTCCCTCGTAGAACCACCTGGAAATGGAGCTCTGTCTGGCCATCACACGGGCCCACGCACAAATCAGGCCGCCTTCCGCTGCCTTCCCCTGAAGACCGTTTCATCCGTTCATGGGCTGCTGAATGCTTTGGAGAAGACCGAGCGCAACTGCAGCAGAACACAAGCCTAAACTATATTGGATGGGCGTTTTCCCGAGAACAGACTGCTTGCAACAAGACTCTCACACAAGCCCGAGCTTAAAAGCAGAAGCTGCGAGACATCTGTGCTCATGCTCGAGCCCCACTGATGAATCCGAGGAAGGAGAAGCTGAACGGGGCTGAGCTCACGGCGGCGCTGGAGCACATACTGACCCTGCCCTGGGAATCAGTTGTTCCAGGGGTCCTCGGGTACCGAGAGTATTGCCAGCATGCTGGCAACAGCACTTCTAGTATGGGACAGATTAGAAGTATGGAGATGTGGCTGCCAGTGTGTCACCGAAGCATCATACAACTCCACACCGAAATGCAATAACGTGATACCCCAATAGCAGATCCGCACTGAGCCCCATTATGTATCCAGGCCATCAAGTCTAGTGAACTCTCAGGATCCTTCGAAGAACTATATGTCCATCCCAGCCTGCCACTATAGCTAGGTGTTCCCGAAACCTCTGCATTTTGAAGGAACGACCATCCACGCCCTCGTGGTGGAACCTCTTCCGCATGTCACTGATATCAAAACCTCCAGGGAAGATGATACGCGTTGTCTGAACGAATCACAGCATTCCGGTGGCCTTGAAGCTGAAGACCAGCAGACGAACCATCTTAGGAAGGTCAGCGAAAAGTGCAAAATCATCGCCGAATCCCGCCAGAACAACTTTCGGGGTGCATTGGTGTTGGGAATCTCGAAGGACGGTATTGGAAACAGTAACGGACACCCCGGCACTTGGCATCCTCGCCGAGTGCCTCGCTCCAATGATACAGCCACAGGCTCCGACCCACGAGATTGAATGCATGTGGCCACGTTCCTGTGCAGCATGCGGAGTATGTCTACGAGCCATGGTGGGAACTCCACGTTCTCGAGCACACGGTCTACTCACGCATGGAACGTGCTGGGAAATGCCTGTTTCAGGTCGCACCACCATCCGTCCTGGCATCGATGGTACTCCACATCATGAAAGGCGCATCAAGATAGATGATGTGATATAGCATCTGCTGGCCTGGAACGAACCCTTTTGGGGACTTCGTCGATGGAGGTCTGACCGCACAGGGGTCAGTGGCCAGGCCATGGAAGCAGCGATTAAAAAGTCCATCAACGGATCCATCAACGTGATTGGTCGGGCATTGCCAAGTGAAATTGAAACTTCGGGATAGGTCGGGCCACTCTCACATTTAGGGCGAAGCGCACGTAGATCTTCATTAAAGCGTTCTGGCGGGACACCCCCATCAAAAAGATGAAGGCATATGCCCTACAGGGTTTGGTTAGCCCAAGCGCTGTATGGGATCCCGCGGGGCCCTAGGGCAGAGTCCTTAAACTTAGACGCCATCTTTTCCGATTGGGGGCTAGGCCAAACCCACTGGATGTCAAGGAGCAGGAGGATGAAGAGAAAGAGGAGGGGAAGGATCGGAGGAGGGAGGAATGAGGAAGGGGGGAGGGCCAACGCACCTGAGACAAGGTCGGATGTCCGAGGACAACGGCAGAGGGCCACCCGAGACAACAAGCGGCCCTGCGGCCCCACCCGAACCCGCTCAGCATCGGCCCCCAGACCCCTCGCGGGGTCCATCCCGACCCGCTTTGCGACGAGGGTCCGGCCGCGGCGATGAGAAGACTCCTCCTCCTCCTCCTCCTCCTCCTCCTCCTCCTCCTCCTCCTCCTCCTCCTCCTCCCCGGGGGCCCGGAGGCCAGCGGCCTCGTCGCTGCCACGAGCGGGCAAAACGTCCGCCTCGCCGAGGCACGGGCACGGCCCCCGTGCGATCCATCGGCTGCGCTGACCGCGCCGGCCAACGTCGGACGATCGCGCGAGCGACGCGGAGGACGAGGAGGAGGAGGAGGAGGAGGAGGAGGAGGAGGAGAACGAGGAGGAGGAGGAGGAGGAGGAGGAGGAGGAGGAGGGAGACCAAGTGGAGGAGGTGGCGAAGGAGGCGGAGAAGGACCAGGAGGAGGAGAAGGAGGAGGAGGAGGAAGGTTCGGCCTCGGACTCGGAGGAGGCGATGGGAAGCGTCGCTGGCAGGCCCGCCCTCCTATTCATCATCACCACCGTCATCGTCATCGTCATCGTCAGCATCATCATCATCATCATCATCATCATCATCATCATCATCATCATCATCATCATCATCATCATCAGCATCAGCATCAGCATCAGCATCAGCATCAGCATCATCATCATCATCATCATCATCATCATCATCATCATCATCATCATCATCATCATCATCATCATCATCATCATCATTCTCATCATCATCATCAGCATCATCATCAGCATCATCGTCGTCATCACCATCGACATCGTCATCATCATCATCATCATCATCATCATCATCATCATCGTCGTCGTCGTCGTCGTCGTCGTCGTTATCATCAGCATCATCGTCATAATCGTCATCAGCATCAACAGCATGATACCCACAATATACTCATCACCATACCCACCACCACCATCATCAGCATCATCATCACCGTCCTCATCATCCTCATCCTCATCCTCATCCTCATCCTCATCCTCATCATCATCAGCAGCATCATCATCATCAGCAGCATCATCACCATCACCATCGCCATTTGCATCGTCACCAGCAGGAAAAATCAGCATCACCAACAACAACATCAATGACACCAACAGCATTCCCCCTCCCCCCTCCCCCACGTTCCTCCTCCCCCTCCTGGGGGCCCAATACCCCGACCTCGGCCCGGCGGCCTCGGCCTCGCCGCCGACGACGACTTTCCAAAACACGCGTTTTTCAGAGAGCCCGCCGCCCTGGACCACTCCCGCCCCGGCGTCCATCGGCAACCGTCCGCTTTGTTTTGTTGGGGGGGGGGGGGGGGGGGCAAAAGCCTTGCAACACCTTGGCGATGGCGACGGATTCCCAAACTTGCAGCCAGCTGAGACTACTGCCTGCGAGCAATCCACAGCCTCAGCCGAACCAGGAGGAGAGTAGAGAGGAGGAGGAGGGAGGAGGAGGAGGAGAGAGGGAGAAGGAGTAGGAGTAGGAGGAGTAGAGGAGGGAGGAGGGAGGCGGAGGAGGAGGAGGGAAAAAAGGAGGAGGAGGAGGAGGAGGAGGGAGGAGGAGGGAGGAGGAGGGGGAGGAGGAAGGAGGACGAGGAGGAGGAGGAGGAGGATTGGAGACTCAGAGAAACCATACCCTCGCCATCCCGCGACGCTGAGGGGCCCCGCCCTCGTCCGAGAGCCCGCACCGCGACGGCCTGTCGTCCTCGGGGGCGGCTGAACGCGGCCAGCACAGCCACTCCGACGCCCGGGCAAAAAGTGCTCGCACCCATGGCGGGAAGGCAATACGCAGAAGGCATCTATACACCACCACCGTGCCAGGCTAGGGCCATCCTGGGCCCTGGGATGGTGTATACGCCCTCCTGGCCGAGCCAGGAGGGTCTATACACCATCCTTCGGCCCAGGATGGCCCTGGTCTGGCACGGTGGTGGTGTATAGATGCCTTCGTCGGAGGCAATGCAACATGCTGACAACCACAACTGCGAAATACCCTTGCTTCGCACCCCTTCCCCCCAAACCCAAAGTAGAAGTGTCCACATGTTGTCCCTGGCCTTTGGCCTGCCGCCCAAGCCCGTCAACGTTGAATCTGGGGGAAGGGAAGGTACATTTGGGTCCGACATGCTTTGATAACTCAAGGTCTTGGCGAGACACGTGTGGACACTTGTAGTTCAACCACCGTCCCGAATCGGCTACACGCAAGAGTGACCCTCGGCAAGAGTGACCTTTGGTCCGCGACGTTCGGGGAGCGCGGGGGTACCACACTAGCGCCGGCAGCTGCTGCCGTCGCATCGTGTTCAGGCATCTGAAGGCCCCAGTGTGCCCGCACCAGAGGTCACTCCAGCGAAGGGTCACTCTTACGTATAGCCGGCCGAAGCTCCCCCGAGATCTGGGCGTTCGCCCAGTATGCAGATGGACGGGGTCCAGGGCTCCGGTCATGATTTTGTTCACGATGTTGTAACTTCATCGAGGGGTCGGATCTAAGGGAAGGTGCCGATACCGCCACTCCCGGGATATCTCCCTAGGCGCGCTCGGACCAGAATCTCGAGGCGAATCCGGCCGTGGCGATGGGGCAGGGCACCAAGATCCGACGTTTCCAAATAATGCAACATCGAAAACATCTCCACCAGAGCCCCACAGACCCCATCTTCCCGTGGCATTTTTCGAGCCGGATCGATCTGCGATGGTCCCGGAGTCCCGAACTGCGCGAGGACGCCGCGAGTAAATAAAATGCAAGGCCCAGATCTCAATGGGGGTCGAGGCAGGAGGAGGAGGAGGAGGAGGAGGAGGAGGAGGAGGAGGAAGAGGACGACAAGGAGGGGAAGCAGGAGGAGGAGGAGGAGGAGGAGGAGGAGGAGGAGGAGGAAGAGGAGGCGAGGGAGGAAGGGGAGGAGGAGGGGGAGGAGGTGAGGAGGGAGGGGAGGAGGGGGAGGGGGGAGGGAGGGGGAGGGGGAGGGGGAGGGGAGGGGAGGGGGAGGGGGGGGGGAGGGGGAGGAGGAGGGGGAGGAGAGAAAGAGGAGGAGGAGGAGGAGGAGGAGGAGGAGGGGAGGAGCAGGAGCAGGAGGAGGAGGAGAGGAGGAGGGGAGGAGGAGGAGGGGAGGGGAGGAGGAGGAGAGGAGGAGAGGAGGAGGACGAGGAGCGTCGGTTCCTTTTCGTCCTCCGGGCCCTCGCCCTCCGCGGCCGCCTCGGGCGCCGCCTCGCCGCCCGGCTGGCCCTCGCCCTCTGGCCGAGCCGGCGGGAGCTCGTCCTCGCCGTCGGCCTCCTCGTCCTGGGCGGGGGGAGGGAGGACGAGGAGGAGGAGGAGGGAGGAGGAGGGAGGGAGGAGGAGGGAGGAAGGGGGAAGCGAGGGAGGAGGGAGGGAAGCGAGGGAAGCGAGGGAGGAGGGAGGAGGGAGGGAAGCGAGGGAGGAGGAGGGAGGAAGGAGGAGGGAGGAAAGCGAGGGAGGAGGAGGGATGAGGAGGAGGGAGGAAGGGGAGGGAGGAGGGAGCAGGAGGGAGGAGGACCAGGGGGAAGGAGGGATTCTGGTTCCCAGGGATGTGCGACGCAGTAGGGAGGCGGTAGCGAACAGTGGAGTGGGCGTTCGAGCCGTTCTCAAGGTGCAAGGTTGCTCACACGAGAGCTCGCGATAAGAAACAAACAGTCCGCTGCCTGAAAAATGCGCTTCGCCTGTATGGGGGCTGGTTGGCAGGGGACCCCCTGGTCAGGAGCAGAGACCTGAAGGCAACAACCAACACTACTCCGTGCTGTGCCACGCTGCACACCGCCCCCAGCGCCGATCCGAGAAATCCGCGCGGACCTCCGAGTTTCTATGTTTATGTCACTTGTTGTTCCCCTAGCCAGGCAGGAGCATAGTTCTCGAGAAACCCCGAACTGCATAAACAGCTTTGGGGTTGTGTACAAACCACACTGCTCCGTGCTGCGCCACGCCGCATGCAGGAGCGGGCGGGCAGGGGGAGCCTCCGCCCCGGCTCGGGAGAAGCCCCCCTGGACGCGTGCTGCATTAAAGTGGGAGGCGACGGCACGCGCTGGAGGGTGACATTGAAGGGGCCCTGGGACACACAAAAAAATACACACACATAAAAGTATTCCCCATATTTTCCCATATTTTCTGGGGTTTTGTCTTCCCCCCCCACTTCCCCTGTTTTACCATATTTTCTGGGGAATCGACGATTAATTGTGTCTGTGTGTTTTTTCCCCTCCTGAATGGGAGGCGACGGCACACGCTGGAGGGTGACATAGCCGAAAGAGCTCGGCGGCACATCACTGGTCGAGGCCCGCATCTACGCGGCACCCTTGGCCCTGCCATGGGTTTGTCTACAGTCAACACGAGGGCTTACAAGGACAGAACTTCAGCGCATCGGCAGCATGAGAGGACATGCCAACTCACCTCCACATGGCGGCTGCTCCGCTCGATGCCCTAGCAGATTTCCTCCTCGAGCGTGCGGGAGAAATCGATTATCATGCCCGTGGCCTTCGTGGCCTTCGGCGGTTCCATCGGGTCCACCTGACCGCCGGGACCCATCAGGTTCAACAACTTGGGATCAGCCTGATTCAGCAGCGTGAAATCAATCTGATCGCTGTCATCGAACTTCTGCGGGTTGGCTCCCCGGCTGGGCTCAGAATGCAGCGTAGCTCCAGCCTCGAACTTGTATCCCTATCCATCGATTGACAAGCCAAAATGCGATGATATCTTACGGATGCGCCCTCGAAAACTAAGGGAATCCCTAAGATCAGCATCGAGATAAGGCGATGCCAAGCAGAGGGATAGGGATATGCTTCAGGCTGGTAATCATTTCCCACGCGGAAGGCCCTCCTCGACCAGCGAGGAGAAACCGATCCCGGTCATCTCGTTGATGACCTTGGCGACCGTCTGCGGATCAGAGCACGGGGTGGGCGTGAAAAACATGCCTGCGTTCCGCTCGACGGCGGTGGCGTGGGCCCCGGGAAGCCTCCGTCAGTAGCCTGAGGGCCCCGGAGAGGCCCCCAGCGCCAGGGGCGCGCCGCTCGCCCGGAAGAGAAACGCGCCACATCGCCGGCTGGAGCGGGGGCAACGCGCATAGGCCCCGACTGGATGAGGTGGCTAGGCCTGGAAGGTTCGGACCACCTGCCCTCGTAGGGAAATGTCCATGGGTCGGAGCCATAGTAGGGAGGAAGAAGGAGGAAGGAGGATGGAAGAGGAGGGAAGAGGAGGGAAGAGGAGGGAAGAGGAGGAAGGCCAGCTCCTGATATATATATATATATATATATATATATATATATACATATATATATATATATACATACGTACATATATATATATATGTGCAAGTACACATACAAGCACACATACATTGCTATAGCTAGATATCTGTTTATGTATATATATACATGTGAATAGGCACATACACCCACGTATATTAACTTACACGCATACACACGTGTATATAAGATGGATGAATACCAGTTCCCCAGCCCGGGGGCCCTGCCCACCTCATAACCATCGGGCCCCCTTTTTTGATATCCCCGCCCTGGCGCCTCCAAGGGGCCTCCAGTCGGCCCAAGAGGCCTCCAGGACGCCTCCAAGACGGCCCCAGGAAGCACCCAAGATGTCCATGAGGGCTCCGAGACGCCACATGATCGGTCCAAGACGCTCAAGATAGTCCCTAGACGGCCCAAGAGGCTTCCAAGACGCCCCACGAGGCCCCCAAGAGGCGTTGTCAAGAGGGCCACAAGGGGCAACAAATGGTTGTTGTTCGATGGTTTTTGAGGATTTGTTGTGGTTCTCACCTTTTCGGCTTCCCGACGCTCGAAGATAGCCGCAGAGGCTCCCGAGATCGCCCAAAGACAGCCCAAGAGGCTCCCAAGACGGCCCCAAGTTAGCCCGAGAGGGGCCCAAGCAGCCCAAGAGGCCTCCAAGACGGTCCAAGATAACCCCGAGACGGCTCTAAGAAGGGGCCCAGACAGGGAATCCGAACGGACCTTTCGAGCCTTCGGCCCCAAAAAGCCCGTAGGAGACTCCAGGAAGCGCCCGAGGCCCCCAAGACGCCGCCAGAAGCCCTGGAAGGGCTCCCAAGATGCATGTCACAGGTGCACGACAGTCAGATCCCACAGACAGGAGGGGGGGGGGGGGGAAGGAGGGGGAGGGGGAGGAGGGGGCGGAATCGCAGGAGGAGGCGGAGGGGGAGGAGGAGGACGGGGAGGAGGTCGGATTTCTGGGCTAACGCCACATACTTGGACCTGTGCCTGCTCATACCGTCTTCGGAGCTGCTCCGTGACCACGGCTAGAACCTAAGCGCGCGCAGCCCGCGCACATGTATACATACATGCATACGTACATACATGCACACATATACATGCACGCACATATATACCTACACACATATAGAAACACGCACGCACATACATAAACACATGCGTACACACATATGTACACGCATGCGCCCATACATATACACATGCATACATGCATGCATGCATGCATACATACATACATACATGCATACACACAAAGTCCTGCACACATACCTGTATGCATGCATGCACGCATGCATACCATGCAATACAATACAACACAATTCAACGCACTACAGTACAACACAATACAATACAATCCACTACAATACAATACAACACAATACAATACAGTACAGTACAATACATACATACATACGTACATGCATGAATCAATGCATACATACACACATACATACATGCATAATTACACACATACATGCATTCGTACATACATCGTACATACACAGTTGCGTGCATGCATACAATCATGTATACACATACATACATACAGACACGCGTGCATGCATACATACACACGTACCTACATGCATGCATGCATACCTTCACACGTTCCTAAATACATACATGCATACATTCATGTATATATGTACATAGATATACTTATCTACACCTACCTAAACACCCAGATGCATACATACATACATTCATGCACTCATTGATTCGTTCATACGTGCATGCAGCCATACAGGCATACATACATACATGGATGCCTGTAAACATACATACGTGCATGCATGCATACATACATGCATGCATGCATGCATCTATACATGCACACACATACAGGCATACATACATACATACATACATACATACACACATACATACATACATACATACATACATACATGCATACATACATATACACATACATACATACATACATACATACATACATACATACGTACACACATAATACATACATACATACATACATACATACATACATACATACATACATACATACGTACGTGCGTGCGTGCGTGCGTGCGTGCGTGCGTGCGTGCGTGCGTGCATGCATGCATGCATGCATGCATGCATGCATGCATACATACATACATATATACATACATACATACATACATACATACATACATACATACATACATACATACATACATACATACATACATACATACATACATACATACATACATACATACATACATACACACATGCATACAAACATACGTACATACATACATGCATGCATGCATCCATACAGACATACATACATACATATATCCTGGAGCTGACCTCTGTGCCTCATAATGCAAGTCGGCGTCGACGTCAGGCCGCTTAGAACATCGCGAAACCATACGAGAGCGCGAGGGCGCACTGGGGCGAAGGGATAGGCATCGCCAGGCGGGCCACGGCCCCACTCCTTGGCCGGCCTGAACGCGCCGTTCACAGACCGAGCCTGGTCCTGAAAAGCGCTGGCATAGGACTTGGGCAAACGCGCGCGGCCGCTCTCCGCGACCCCGCCCACCTGCAGCACGCGAGCCGAGCAAACGGAAATCCGAACAGGCCAGCGGCGCGAAAACAGATCTCCAACGAAGCTCGGGTAGTCGGCCCCCGGTTCCAAGGCCTCCGGTTCCAAGCATGGGTGGCTCGATCTGCCCACTCGCGACCAGCTCCTGCTCGGCGAGCTTTGCTCACAACACACGCGCCAATTCGACGTGCCTCTGAACCCTTCCCTCGGGCGCCCCCCTCGCGATCACGCTGGCCCCGTCATCGACGCAGTCCAGAACCTCGTCCCAAGACGGGGGCTCTGGGCAGGGGCCCACGGGAATCATCGCGGGCACGGGGGGGGATTCGGCAAAAGTCGGAAACTGAATGTCTGCCAGCTGATTCAAGAGCCGCATCTGCATTGACCCATGCGTTTGAAGGTCGCTCTCCAAGACGGGTCTGGGATGTTGCATGAGCTTGCTGAGGCCCTCTGACGCGAACGCGCAAGCGAGCGCGCCGCGCCCGGAGCTGCCGCCGAACGCGTGCCAGCCACATCTGGGCACACGTGGCAGCCCAAGGGACTGCTCGAGCGACATCGCGATCATGGAGCTCGAGCGGCTCCGCTCTGAAATCCCCCCGGGGAGGTGCGCGGCGCGACATGCGCCTGCGCTGCAGATCCGACCGAGACCACCGTTTGAGGCTCTCTCGGGAGAGGCCGTCGGAGCCCTGGGGTGACACCGACGCGCACGATGCCGGCTCGCCCCTTGGAGTCTGCACCCGACGCACGACGGCTCGCAGGGCTCATGCACGGCCCCGCCTCTCAATCATAGCTGCTCAGAAGCTGCCCCGCGACAATCACCGCCCCGCCAGGTCCCAGCTCCTCTGCCAGGATCAGCGGCGACGAACCTCGGCACCCAACCGTTCTCGATGGCCCAGCGGGCGGCCTTGCGAAGCTGGCCCTGCTGGGCCACATTGCGCTCCTGAAGTACAACAACGTGGGCCCCAGTCTTTAGGGGCCATCGCTCAGCAGAGCCCCGAGTGGCGACGCGAGGTGGCGCTCGCCGCCTGCACGACGAACTCACGCCGCTTACGCCCAGGACACAAGGGGGCCTTATACAAAATCACCCCTCGGGCCTGGCCCGAGGGTCGGCAAGCGACAAAAACGGCTTGAACTGCCGCACGACTGCGGCGGCCGAGAGGCCCCTCCCCCCCGCGCCGCCCCTTGCCGGGGCCGCTCTCGACTCGCTTGCTGGCGGCTCCTGCTGCGGGCCGCGCGGGGAACTGCCTTTCACCGCGCTGCCTGCCGCGTCCACTCGCGCACGTCCGACGGAAGCTTCGCGGGAGACTGCGGAGGGAGCAGAAGAGTTGGCAGGGCGCGGTGCTGCTGTGCCTCCAGCCTGCACCAGGAGCACCACTTCCTGATGGCAGGCCTGCTCCAGCGGGCGCCCCAGGTGCTCCAGGTGGAGCTGCTGGCGTTCCTCCTTCGCCGCACTCGGTCCCGGGCTCCTCCCTGAAGACACTGAGAACATGGTCCTGGTGAATTTTCTGAAGCGCGTCGAGCTTGGCCAACACCTCTCCGAGCAGGTTGCGAGAGATGCCGGCGATGCCATCTGTCGACTCCGAGGTCCTTGTCTGCAGTGCCTCCTGGTCCTCAGCAGTGAGCTTGCATCCCGTGTCCGATGCGCCTAAGAGGTCGTCTGTGTATGTGACCTTGTCTACACGGACCTTGAGCCACTTCAGGACTCGCATTCGCCTGCAAGATCGGGCGCTCTGGCTGACCCCCGTTTGCATTGACCCCCGTCTCAAGGCTCCCGACGACGATGAAGGCCTCATCCTCTGGCGGCCCCTGGAATTGCCCAGCGGCCCCTGGCATTGCCCAGCGGCCCGGAGTTCCCCGAGAGCCTCCAGACGTCCCTGGAAGACACGGGGCCCGGGCACGAGCCATCAAGAGCGCGATAGACACGACGACGACAGACTGCGACGGACGATGGCGGACGACGGACCGCGGACGACGACGGACGAGGACGCACGACCAGCGACGGACGACGGCGGGCGGATGGACGACGGACGCGACGACGACGGCGAGAACGACAGACGACGACAGACGACGACGGACCACGACGGCCACGGCAGACGACGGACGACGACCACCGCGACGACGACCGCGGGCGACGACAGGGCGACGGGCGGCCGACGGGCGCCTCGCCCGGCGGCGGGGCCTCTCCGACGCCGCCCCCGACCTGCAGCTCCACGCTCAGGGCGTCGTGGTCGCTGCCGCCGCTCCCCAGGTTCTCCGCCTCTCTCTCACTCCCTCCCTGGCGCTCTCGCCCCCGTGCGACGACGCCGACAGGGCTCAGGGACTCTCATGGATCGGGCGCATGGGCACCAAGATCCACAGGTCGGGGAAGGCGCCCCCCCCGACCATGCGGCCAGGGGCCGCCTGATTCGGCGACGGCGCGCGCCGATTCTGCATGGAACCGGGACCCGTTGCCAGTCCACGCGCCCGATACGCGATTAAAAAAAAGCACGACTCGAAATCACGAGGGCACGAGCTTTTTGTACGTCGGCGGCGAAGCAGAGGAGTCGCTGCGCTGGCGAAGAGGCGAGACGGGGCTGCCGTGGAGCGAAGTGTGCTACCGTGCAGGAGGGGGGGGTGAAGAAGATGGCGAAGCGACGGCCGAGAGGCGGAGGAGGCGGGACGGGGCCGCTCCGTGGAGCGGGGTCGTGCCGACGACGACGAATGCAAGCGAGATCATGCGTCGTTGGACTGTGCGTCCTTCGGGCCCGGGGGCCCTCCGCGGATCGGCCCGGCGGCGTGAGAGATGCCGCAGCATCGGATCTGGAGGAAACGACGACAACACCAACAATCACAACAGCGACAGCAGCAGCAACAACAACAACAACCACAACAACAACAAAAACCACAACAACCACCACCCACAACAACGGCAACGCCAACCATCATCTTAAGACTGTTCGCTCTTGTCTGTTCGCGTGCCATGCAACACGTGTATCCGAAACCCTCGATACCCGCCTTCTTCGTCTTCGACCGTACACCCTTAAGGGTGTACCTTTCTTACCTGCAACGTGCCTTTCGTGAAGCCCCTGACGATGGATGGGATTGGGGCGGAGGGGGGACGAGGAGGGACGAGGAGGAGGAAGATGTGCGGCAGTGAGGGGAAGAGGGCCTCTGCCCTCCGTCCTCCTCACTCTTGCCTCCCCCGTCCCTGCCTGCTTCCTCCTCCGACCCCCTCCTCCTCTGCCTCCGGCCTCCCCGCCCTCCCGCGGAGGGGAGGCGCCAGACGAGGAGAGAGTTACCAGCTTGAAACATATCCCTCTCCCTATGTTTGACATCACCTCACCTCGATGTCGATCTGAAGGATTCCCTCAGTTCCTGAGGGCCTATCCCTAAGATTGTCCTCGCTTGTTGCTCGCCCATCTTAGGGATGGGGATGAGGTCGAGGCTGGTGAGAGCGAGAGGCGGGGGAGCGGAAGTCCCAAAGAGGAGGGCGGGCGGCCAGGAGCCAGAGGCACGAGAGAAGACGCCCAGTCCAGGGGCGAGAGCAGTCCGCTGCGCCTCGGGGGGGGGGAGCCGTGCCAGGCTAGCCCTCGTGGGCGGCGGCTCCGCCAAGCGACGGGGCAGCCGCCAGGCTCGGCTGGCTCGGAACGGGACCCGCGCTTCGCAGAGCGCGAGCAGCACCGCGCTCTCCCCCGCGCACCCGCGGCCCGCCTCCGAGCACGCGCCGAGCAGACGGCGCTGCGCCCAGACAGGGCGCACGGCACCAGGGCAGCTTTGAGTCCACGGGGCGGGAGCAGGGGGGCGCGAGGGGGCAAGAGGGGGGTCGACGGGCGAACCCAGGAATTCTTCGAGGCGGACGAGGGAAATTCCAGAGGCGAACGAGGAATGTGGCATCCCGGACCAGGACTGTTTCTTGGGTCCAACGGGGAACGCGAGCGGACGCGAGCGAGGCGAACCTGGAAATTTACTGGGTGGGACGAGGAAATTGTCACACGCGACACAGGAAGAAACCAGGAAGCCTGCTGAGCGAGAAAACGCCGACGACACCACCTCGTAAACCCATCCAGCCCGTCGACCGACGAAAAACCCGCCGAACAAACTCAAAGTAGAGCCTCCAAGCCAGAAAAGGGTGGAGTGCCCGCAGGACAGGGTGGAGGACGAGGAGGTGGAGAGGCAGGAGCAGGTGCAGGCAGGAAAGAGAAACTGCAGCAGGAGGCGAGAGGGAGAATGGATGGCCAGTCTCGCACACGGAACGGCAGAATCGTGCGAACACACACCCTGGGCCAATCTCCCGGATAATTCGCTCGCGGGCCCCGGGGAACGTCCAGAGCACGCGCAGGAGTCGCCGCCCAAGAACCACCCGCCCTGGTTTTGAGAGCTCCATGCCTGGCGAGAGACCTTCCAGGCGAGAGAAAGTCTTCAAATCCCACCAGCCCTTTGGGCGTGAGTGGTTTAGAGAGCTCTCTCTGTCCTCAACCCCCCTTCTTCCCCTTCGGGGAGGGGTTTACCCCTCCCCCTAACCCCCTCCCCTTGGACCTGGAGAGGGAGTCCCGAGCGTCGTCAGGGGAGTCTTTTTCGACGCCTGGGAGGGCCAAAAAACGACGACCCTCACGAGGATTCTGGCCCCGAGGGGTGGGAGGCAGTTTGGCGCCTCAGCTCGTCGTTGAAGGCAAAAACATTGATTTTACTACGGTTTTGGCTCCATTTTGGCCTTCTGAGGGGGCCGCGTTCCTCTTCCGTCTTAGCAAAATCATCATTGATTGTACGAAGGTTTTGGGCTCATTTTGTCCTTCTCAGGGGTCAGCGCTTATTTGCGCTTCTGAGGAGGTCGCAAGAGGCCCCAAGATAGCCCCAAGAGGCCCCCAGGAGTCTCCCAAGAGGCCTCCAGGAGGCCCCCAAGAGGCCCCCAAGAGGCCCCCCCCAAGAGGCTCCCAAGAGGCAAGAGGCCCCCAAGAGGCCCCCAAGAGGCCCCCAAGAGGCCCCCAAGAGGCTCCAAGAGGCCCCCAAGAGGCCCAACGAGGAGCCCGAACGACTCACACCAGGACGCGAGACCCCAACGACTCACACCACGAGGAGCCCGAACGAGTCACACCACGAGGAACGACTCACACCACGAGGAGCGAACTCACACCACGACGAGGGCCCCGAACGACTCACACCACGAGGAGCCCGAACGAGTCACACCAGGAGGAGGGGCCCGAACGACTCACACCAGGACGAGGGGCCCGAACAACTCACACCACGAGAAGCCCGAACGACTCACACCAGGACGAAGAGCCCGAACGACTCACACCACGAAGAGCCCGAACGACTCACACCAGGAAGAAGGGCCCGAACGACTCACACCAGGACGAGAAACCCCAAACGACTCAAACCACGAGGAGCGCTTTCTCTCCCTCCTCCTCCGCCTCGTCCTTCTCCCGCTCCCCCCACAAGGAGGATGTACAAGGAGGCGGGAGGAAGGAGGAACAGGGGAGATATGCGGGGCCAAGCGGACACACGCCTGACAAACACGACTGTCGGCATGCTTCGCGAGAGTTGCTGCTGTGAGATGGGCTGGTGGGGATACGCGAAGCGTAAAGAATTTAGGGCGCCAAAGTTTTTGAGACGGTGACGCGGCGATGCGTCGTTGAGATCGGCCCAGGACCACCCCCCTCCCAGATTCCATTCACTCGCATGCCTGGTGACGCCTCACATCCATTCGGGGATGGACAGACCCCCTTTAGAAACACGTGGTTTAGTGAAAACGACCTGAGGCCCAAACCTGGCGGGCGCAAGCCTGGAAAATAACGGCCACGGCGCCCTCTCGAGAACCGAACACGGACAATTCACTAATCGACGTGTCACTGTTGGGGGTTTTGTCCACCCCCGATCCATTCATTACAGCTCCCCACTTCCTCGTCCTCCTCATCTCCCTCGCCCTCCTCTGCGCCTCCCCTCCTCCAACCCCCCTGGCCCCACGACTCATGCCTGGAGGCCTCGTGGTGCTCGGCGACACGCCCTTGGGTCACAAAAAAACTAGAAAAACAAGAAAACGAGAAAACCAACCATGGTGCACGAAAACGAGACCACGACCCAGAGGCCGAGAAAACGAGAAAACGAATCAGGGTCCGTGAACATGAGACCACGACCCAGGGCAGAGAAAACGAGACAACGAGAAAACGAACCAAGGTCCGAGAACACGAGACCACGACCCAGGGGCCAGGGGTAGAGAAACCGAGAAAACAAAACAGGGTCCGAGAACACGAGACCACGACCCAATGGCCGAGAAAACGAGACAACGAGAAAACGAACTAAGGCCCGTGAGCACGAGACCGCGACCCAAAGGCAGAGAAAACGAGAAAACTGGAAAACCAACCAAGGTCCGAGAAAACGAGACCACGACACAAGGACCGAGAAAACGATACAACGAGGACGCGAATCAGGGTCCGAGGAAACGAGACCACGACCCAAGCGCAGACAAACAAACGAGACAACGAGAAAACGGACCAAGGTCAGAGAAAACGAGGTCCGAGAAACGAGACCACGAACCAAATACCGAGAAACAGAGAAACCGAGAAACCGAGAGGAAGCGGGGCCACGATCCAGGGGCCGAAACAAAACTACGCAAACACTAAACAAACAAACCAGGGTCCGAGGAAACGAGACCGCGACCCAGGGACAGAGACAGCGAGACAACGAGAAAACGAACCAGGGTCCGAGGAAACGAGGCCACGGCCCAGAGACCGAGAGGCCGAGAAAGCGAACCAGGGTCCGAGAAACCGAGAGTACGACTCAGGGGCCGAGAAAACTAAACAACAAGAAAACAAACCAGGGCGCAAGAGAACGAGACTACGAACCTGGGGAAGAACAACACGAACAACACAGAAAACGAAGCAGGGTCCGAGGAAACGGGGCCACGACCCAGGGGCTGAGAAGACGAGAACACGAGAAAACGAACCAGGATCCGAGGAAACAGGGCCACGACCCAGGGGCAGCCCCAGCCTGAACAACAACATGTTTACAAAAGTCGCAGCCAAAAAAAAACGTCCGCCCCAATTCTGTGAAAACTCCTGGTTGAGAACGGCGACCCCCGCCCATCAGAGTTTTCATTTTTAGGGCAATATCCGCTGATACGACGGCGACGAAAGGCAGCTACGTGAGCCTACTGTTACAGAGGCTCCACCTAAACAATGTTGTTCGTCTTCGTTTTGTTTTCGGACTCCGTGCGTCCGCGTTTACTCCCTGTCCGCTGGACTGCCTCTGTGGTACAACTGAGCCTGATCTGCGTCGCGAACTCGATGCGTCCAGGATTGCGGATTTCAGCTACCCACAGTCCCCCCCCCGCACCACGCTCGCAGCGGAACGGGAATTTGGCATTCCCTCCAGGTCTTTCGGACACCCCTGCAAGACGGGGCCGTCGCCGACAGGACCAGGAGCAGGGAGGAAAGGGGGAGATACGGTGGGCTTCCTCACAGGGTTCAGCTCACAGACCCCACTAGCCCTGCGCAGTACGTGCAGCGCAGGGGGGTGGCGGACCGTCTCCCCAGCCCACCATCATGCGGAGAAACGAAATCCCCTGGAGACGGGACGGGATGGGCATGGGTCGGCAACATCAGCTGGCCCACGACACGAAGAGAGAGCTAATTAACAGCTACGTCAGTACGAAGGACTGATCCCCTGACGATCCAAGTCGCCTTCCGTTCAGTGGCATCAAGCTCGCGCGAGGCAGCATGCTCTTCCCCCTGGCAAGAGAAAAGGCAACAGCTGAAGCCACTAAAAACAAACTAAACAGTGCTGGATTGCACAAGCGGCTGAGCGCCTTGTACATGCACCAAGACCCTCACCAGGAAAACGTGCCCCATTCGGCGAGGAACAGTTACTCGTTCGGCGTCCTCGGCTTCCCCCATTCGACCAGCCGAACATGTCCCCGTTCGGCCCAGGAGAATGTCCCCGCTCGCCCACCGATTTCCTTTGCTCCCCCGTGGACTTTCTGGCTGGCCTTTTCACTGCGAGAGGGAGGGGGGGGGGAGATGGGCGAGAAGGAGGGCCAGTACGCTGCGGCGCGCCAGTTCGTCGGCCAGGTCGGCCACGACGGCTGGAGGCATCGACGGCCTTGCGCGGTCACAGAGGCCGGCCTCCGGCTATTGGGGACGAGCTGCGTGGGCAGCCGACCGCCAGTGGATATTGATAGGATCGGACGCCGGTGCGGGCAGGAGGGGGATTCTTACCAGCCTGGAACATATCCATATCCCTATGTTGGGCATCGCCTCATCACGATGGCGATCTGAGGGATTTCCTCAGTTTCTGAGGGTGTATCCCTAAGATTCTCATCTCCTTTTAGCGTGTCAATCTTAGGGATAGGGATAAGTTCGAGGCTGGTGAGACTCGGGAGAAGACACCACGGGAGCAGGAGACCCCCAGCCGGAGCACGAAGAGAAGGGCGAGGAGGATCTCAATAGAAGGAGGGGGGGAGGGCAGGAGGCAGCATCGGTGGAGGGCGCTCTCGGAGGCCATCCGAGACGAGAGCAGGACAAGGAGAAGCTCGGCTCAGGACGCCTCGGGAATCTCTGAGAGCCGGCGTGTCTGGGGAGCGTTTTTTTTGATTCGGCGGTTCGACATCGGGCGGAAGGGTGGTGGAAGGGGGGGGCGTCTGGCTCCGGACTTCTGCTCTTGCCCGCCCTTCGGGGGTTCGAGGTGTCTTCGGGCGCCCGGCCTTTCGGACCGAGTCCGTGCCCAGATTGCTGAAGAAGTTGTCGATGCCACCGTCGGCGACGCCGTGGTAGACCCTGCTAGGGGGACATCCTCCTGATCCTCGTCCTCATTCCCCTATTCATCCTCCTTCTCCTCCTCATCGTCATCACCATCACCATCACCATCATCATCATGATCCTCCTCCTCCTCATCCTCATCCTCATCAGCATTATTATCATCATCATCATCATCCTCATGATCACAATCATCAGCACCACCAGCGATGTCGTCGTCATCATCATCATCATCATCATCCTCCTCCTCCTCCTCCTCCTCGTCGTCGTCGTCGTCATCGTCCTCCTGGTCGTCGTCATTGTCATTGTCGCCAACATGGTCATCGTCATCATCACCATCATCGTCGTCGGCATCGTCACCGCCACCACGATCATTGACGTCCTCATGGTCGTGGTCGCCGCCCTCCTCCAGCATCAATCCCAGCCAAAAGAGAGCTGGTGCAAATGTGCACACGGTTGGAACCCACCGGCCTGTGCAAGCGCTTCTCCAGGCTCTCGACGGTCGTGGAACCGTCGCCTGCGTTGAAGTCGCCCACCATGATCACGGCATCGCCTCGTCGGCGCGCCCATCCCGGACATCCTCCGTATTGAAAAAAGCAAAGTGAAGGTTTTTCTTAGTTTTCGGCCTTCTGGGGCAGGGGGCTTATCTAAAGAAGTCGGGCAGAGCCCCGGGAGCTGGACAACGGCCAAAAACCTTTAGGACCCGTTTCCCTGAGGACCCATTTGCTTCACATTCGGAGGTCCGCGCGGATTTCCTGGATTGGCGCATACCCCCCTCCATGGCACTCGGAGCGCACCACGCGCGGCGCTGGAGGCGCCGCCAAAGGGTTCCAACGTAGATCATTGAACTCCGCGCGAACCCCTTCATCGCATGCCGATGCTTCTCCTTCAATAGACAGCCGCCCACCATCGCCCCGCCTCTTTTCCCGCTGCCCCGCATGAGTGGCCCCAGGCAAGAATGCCCTTTGGTTTGAGCAGGGACCGACCGTCCCGGCATTCCTATAGGCCTACCACGAAATTCGTTTTGAACCCAAAAATGTTTCAAGAACAAAAACAATGTCATTGGAACATAAACCCGAGGTGATGAAACAAGACAGCCCCAGCCAAAAATGTTCTAACGTCTCGTGGAAGCCACAAAAGGTTATGATAACACTTAGCTAAGTCGGGCCTGTCCCCCTACAGGGGGATTTTCGAGGAACAAATAAAATCAACAAATAATCCAACATGGGCAAAAAAACAAAAAATGGCCACCAGGCTGTGTTTGACTACTGTTTGAAAAAATCCTCCTGTAGAGGGACAGGCCCGACTTGGAGCCTACAGGCGAGCCAGGACGCTTCGCCACTGCCTGCTTGGCCCGCTGCCTGCCAAATCGTTGGCGCGCGAGGGGCCCGCAAGCGGCCTGCGTGCTCGGGCCGGCACGGGAGGTCCCTCTGGCGCAGGTTCGCTCTTTTCTGTGCGGCGAGGAACTCCCTGCAGGAGTCTCGCGTGCATCTACAATCGGGGCGTTTTTTTATTCAATCACCCTGGGGCTTATCATGCACAGACAAATTCGACCGCCGTCTTACGGCCCCGCAAACAGCGCTTGCACGGGCCCGCAGCCGACCAGGCCCAGACCCCGAAGCGCGACCGTCACTCCGCGCTCCGCCCGACCACAGGCCTGGGGTCCGACGCACTGGCCGCTCGGGAAGCCCTGCCACGCTCCTGAGCCTCAGCAGCGCTGGCAAAGCCAAAGGAGCCCAGGGCTCCCTCGAGACCTGGGCGGATCAGCCTCCCAAGGGCAGGCGGGGCGGGTGCCCGATCCCGCAGCACTGGGGGCTCCACGGCGGGGGCTCTAGAGTCTGCAGAGGCCACAGGGTCCTCCACGGCGTCTGGGCCCGCGACCGTGCCGAGCGCCTCGGCCCACCTGGCACGGGTGGCCGCTGTGGGCCGAGCCAACTGGTCGACCGGCTGCTTGGATTTTCCAGGCAGGATCGACTTCGCGAAATCATGTCTCGCCTGCGCCCTGGAGCCCTTTTTGGCCCTGGGGTCGTCAGCGCTCTGGGCCCCGACACAGGCCTTGGCAAGGCCCCTGTGGCAGTACTGGGGTTTCAGACAGTACATCCAGCACACCACACAAACCAAAAACTCGGGGCCATCCCCGCCCGAGACTCGGGATTCACGCAGACAGTGTCCATTGACCTCCCAGGCCCCCGACTCGACAGGGTCGTCCTGGGACAGGACCGCACGCGAACTACACAAAAACGAGTCCCCTGACCTCGGGCCGACGGGGCTCGCCCTCAGGGTCCCTGGGGCCCTCCCCTGGCCAGCAGGACCCGAGGGGGCTCTCCGAGGCCTGACCGCGGCCAAAGCGGGGGGAGAGGGAAGGGGCTGCGACACAGCCGACTGGGGCGGGCCCTGCGCGCCCGCGGCCGAGGTCGCTGCCTGCTCTTCCTTCTCGGCGCGGCGGCGCTGGAAAGCGCGAAGCAAGGCCGCCGACGAGCTCGACGCGTCAGCTACGGATTCACTGGGCCCAACCTGCCCCTCACATGTCACTTTCCTCTTGCGGTCCTGCTTGTCTACCTGGTCCTGGGCCTGGGCTCCCTGGCAAGCCGCCGCTGCCGTCACAAGCCCTGCTGCCGCCCCAAGGGCCGCCAGACCGCCAGGGGCGCGGGCAGTCGAGTTCTCGGCCTCCAGCAGCTGCTCCCAGTCGGGTGACGGAGCGAAGGGGTCCAGGTCCACGAGGTCCAGGGAGGTGAGCGGCCAGGAATCCCTGCGCCCCGACTCAGTGATGTGCACTTCTAGGTCCGCCGCGCATCTGGCCACCTCCTTCGCTCTAGCTAGGCAGCCCTCGAGCATCAGGGCGTCCTGCTCCGCAATGGCGTGGAAGGCCGCACCTTCCTTTGCCCTGGTGTCGGCTCTCCCGTTGCCCACGAGCTCGAAAAGGGTGAGCTCCCCGTCCTGCACCGCGGCCTCCGAGCGGTGGGCGGGCACATGGCGAATGGTGACTCCCTCCGCCGCATCACCCACCCTGGCCCACACATGGGCGTGCAGGGAGCTGGGGCCGCAGGCCTTGGCCAGGTTGGAAGCAGCCTTCACCGTGCTCAAGCAGTCACTGAGCAGCGTGTAGTTCCCTATGATGTCTGCGAGGCCGATGGCTGCTGCGTAGTCTTCTCCTGCCTTGGCCGTCTGCGACGGGAGGTCGTTGGGGGGCACGGCGCCCCACGCCTCGGCGATGAGCCTCCCATCTGGCCCATAGACGATGACCGCCCAGCCAGCGCTTCTGACGTGCGAGAAATCCCCGTTCAGACACGAGCCGTCGGTGAAGACAAAGGACCCGTCTGGCACCACCAGTATGCCGCCCCCCCATCCGCAGGAGCGTCTTGCCCAGCTGACGTTCCAGGCTGGCCTGGCCACAAGGAGACTGATGTCCGCGAAGAGCCCCTGACTGAAGAGCTCGTCGAAGGGAGGCCCCATGCGGTGGGCCTGCTCAGCTGCCCGTCTCACCTGGCTCGGGCAATAGTCCCTCCTCCAGGCCTCCCAGGCTGGGCACACGTGGTGCCTGTGGTGCATCGTCCCAGGGGCGGCCCCGCAGAGCCTGCAAAGCGGGTCGATCTCTCTCCCATGCCTCGCCAGCCGCGCCTGGGGCCAGCTGGCCAGCGACGCCAAGCGTCGCAAGCAGCCTTTGTGGTGAGCCGTCCAGGTTACCGACTCCTTGGCCCCGAGGAGCTGGTTGATCGGCGTCCACCAAGGCGGCAGCCTCCACTGCCAGCAGGACTCGGGCCTGCTGACGAACTCCCCGAGCGACGCCGCCTGACGCGTGTCCTCTTTGACCCTGGCGGCGAGGAAGGCAGGCGAGAACCTCTTGGCATCGAACGCGTAGCCCTCCCTGTCGGTCAGCACGCGTCCACCATCGCCAAGGCCCCAGCCGACTCTCCCGAGCGTGAGCACCAGCGCCGAGACGGGGTCTCGCACCGCGGCCCACGGTCTCTGCATGGAGGCCAGACGCCTGCTGTCCCTGAGGCAGGCCTGCACGGCGGCTGGCGAGGCCTGTCCTGACCAGCTCATGGCCACGAAGGCCTGGACCGCTAGGCCCGTCGCGATCACCAGCGGATCCTGCCTCCAGCCCTGGGGCGCACACTGCAGGCAGAAGGTCAACGCGGCGCCCGTTGGCAAGTTGCTGGCCGCTTTCGCCGCAGCGATCCTTAGCGCCCTCATGCGCCCTGGCGGGATCCCGTTGATGGCCGAGCCCCACAGAGCCTTGGCAGCGGGGCCTGCCCTCTGGATCTTGGCCTGCCTCATCCCCGAACCGAAGATCCTGGTGATGTTGTTGCCCTGCCGCAGAGCCGCCAGCTCCCTGGCCACTTGCGTCCCGACCCTGCGATGGCCGCCCGCCGTCGCATCTCCTCCAAGGTCGCGGTGCCCATCGACGAAGGCTTCGTCGGCGAGGACCCAGTCGGCGTGCTGCTGCAGCTCTCTCCTCAGCTTCACCGAGGAGGCCAGTGCCTTGGTCTTTCCCCAGTTGATGGGGAGCCTCTTCTCGCCGAGCATGGTGGCGACTCCCTTCGCGAACCTGGCTGTCTGATCTACGACCAGCCTTCGCGTGCCTATGCCGTGGACCGAGATGTCGTCTATCACGTTGACCACCCTGCCAATGGGCAGCAACTTCCTCGACTGCAGCAGGAGGTCGTATACCATGATCCTCGCCATGGTCGTAGCACAGGAGCACCCCGCGATGACGGTGTCGTCTACGGCCGGCTGCTCGCTGAGGGCAAGGTCGGCCCTGGCCCTGCGGGGGCCCGAATACAGCACACACAGCGCCTGTATCAACCCAGTGTTGAAATCGCAGCCCCGCGCCGCTTCGAGGAGCAGCCTGTGCCTGATCTGCTCGTAGAACTTGCTGATGTCGAAGTAGACCGATGCCGCCTCGAAGTTCTTCTCCCGCGCCAGACCGAGCAGGAGGTTGTGGATGTAGGCCGCCCTGTCACAGCAAGTGTCCGCGTCTGCCCCCCAAAATTCGGGGAGCTTGTGGTCCTTCTCCCACTCCGCGCAATACGTGCGCCTGATGCGGCTCCAGATGCGCATCCACATGCAGAGGAGCCCGATCGGGCGGCGGCCCCCGTCTGGCTTCCCCAGGAAGACGATTAACGTGGTGAAAAGCTCCGACTGCTGGGGGTGACGTTCCCAGGCTGTCAAGATGTCCGCCAGCCTGTCCGCGCATTCCCTGCCTAGGCTGAGGATGAGCCTGGGGTGGAAAGCGTCCCATCCAAGCGCCGTCCTCCTGGGGAAGGTCCTGGCCGCTGCCAGCACCTCCTCTCCCGCGATGGCGCCTAGCCCCAAAAGGCTCGTTCCACTCCTCGGGGCGAACGCCGTCGGGGCCCTCCTTGTGCCAGAGCGCCTTCCACTCTTGAAGGATCCTGTCTAGGGCCTGCTGACCGACCAGCGGGACGGGAGGGGCCTCGCCCTCGCCTGAGCCAAGGATGGAGCAGGTCTCCAGGTTGGCCTGCTTGCTGATCGCGTGGGCGCCCTTGCCGTTCCCACTGAGGGCCTCGGCCATGAACTCCTTCCAACGCTGCC